AATTATTTTAATGTAACAATAACAATTATTAAAATAGTTTAGGCTGGCGATAGCATTCCACAATGTGTAATTTATACTTTGAAAAAAACAGAAACCAGCACTTTAAAAAATTTATTCCGTCGTCCTATAAAGGAGGAATTACACCTTGTAGACATACCTGAAACACATTATTTGATTATTGTCGACATTCTTTAATATTTAACTGAAAACGTTTTACAAAATACCGTACTTCTTATTAATATCTTAGAACTTTACCTATTTCTGTGAGTTAACACTTTGGACAATATGTTTTTGTCAAATCGTTTGCTAATCCATCTACCATCAAGCTCCAAGAAGGCAGCATCCAACTGCGTAATGAAATATAATGCTCAGCGAGATGAATTGTGCATAGAGAAACAGCCAAGTCGATGAGGAGGTCGTCGTGTCTGAATTCATGGAGGAAAACGCTGAACAGATAGAATCCCACAGAGTCCGTCATCTGGAACCCCATTCAACCGGAGTGAAAGGCAAATGGTCGTTCTATCCAATACGTCTGATAAGCGTGGGCACAGTAGCCAAAACCGTTTGCCAAGATCGAATGGAATGGAAAACAAAAATGGCTCATAGTCCCTGTGTGCAGCACGAGTAATCAGAATACGGAGAGCTACATCGCACCATAGATGTCAGCACAGACGGATCAGCACCCCAGAGACTAAAAACGCCCATTTGGAAGACCACAGAGGCGATGTGTCGAAAGGAAGATATTACGCCTATGGTGACAAAGTGCGCAAGACGGACAAACGGAGGCATCGAGACAGAGCAACAGTGATGCTTGATAATTACTAACAAGAATCAGTTAAACGTTGCTGTTGTTTTTGCCAATTTTGGTATAATTAAGAAAGATAAATAAATAAAGCCTATTGCATTTAGACCACTCATTTGAGAAACAAAGATCAAGATGATTTCAGAATTGTCACACGGTTAATAGAAACTACGAAGATGAAGATAACAGAACCTATGACCAAAATACACTGTTGTACTGGAACATAAAATGTCAGTGGAACGAATAATCGATATAAGATAGCATCGTGAAACACATTTACTTATGTGTCTAAATAATTCCATTTGTCATGCGACATAAAACATTCCCTTGCACAAACCTGGTCTCTTCTTCTGGTCCATATTTAAACACCGCATCGTTCGTATACACCCAGATAAAACCGGATATAGGATCACGAGTTACGCCAACGACATCGCCCATTTTCTGAAAAACAGTAATAATTAACAAGTAGAGGGTGCAAAAGAAAGCATATGAATTAATCACTATATAAGGGACGTCTAATTAACTTTGGCAACGAGTCATTAGCTACATGATATATTAGTGACTAATGAGTTACGTACATCAGTGAAAATGTCCTTCAGCACCACCTCGCCACTCAATGTGAAGACCGCATACAAACACCTTTTGAACGTCAGCAACGTGTGAAATTCAGTGACAACAATTCCGGTGCAGGGCAATTTTTCGTCACATATATCGGAATATCTAAACAAAACCTTATCAAATTCACGGAATAATTCTTGCGAATAAGAGTTTCAACGTGGAATCAGGATGAATAAGTTGATGTAATAATTTGCATAAAAGCTGCAATAGTTATTTTGGTGATTCCAGTATTTAAAACTACGAATTAATTTCAAATCAACCTCGTCATTCATTGCATAATTATCGTTACCTCATGAACCGTCGATTCTGAATGCATTCTGAGAGATCAGCTTTTTCCGTACAAATGGAACCAATCTCGATGCCGGAGGAAAACCTGATACAGTACGGGAAAGTGGAAAGGTCAGTGAAGCCACATGCGCTAAGTTCAGCTTCCGCATCGTCTGTCACATTTTCCTCCAAACGAGAAAAAACGTGTCCTAAACATTAAGAAAAGTGCCCATAATCGCATCAAGAATTTAACAAGCTAGAAAAAGAATTAAGCACTCAAGCATAGAAAAATTACGCCGGACAGTTAAGTGTAAATCATGTATTAACTGCATTAGACGGCATTTGTGAATTCATTAATTCGTACGATGGTCATTGACATCCTTCAAAGGCGATGACCATTAAAAGTGTTTATATTAGATAAAGGCGTGAAGGCGATCTAAGAATTGCGTCGAAATATGGAAGCAGTAACATAAGAAAAATAAAAACAGACAATTAAAAAAAATAATAGCATACATGAATGAAAACAAAACAAGGACTTACAAAGCGAGATACATGATGTGAAATGCTTCGAGCTCTGCATGAGCTCAAATACTACGGAGCCATGACACTTAAATCTCCCAAACTGAAAGTAATGGGGAGAGAGGTGCATTACACGGTGAAATCTGATCTTGAGGGGGTGATGCTCCTTGTTATGATCCATGTCTATCATGACGAAGAACTTCTGAGCTACGGTTGCGATCTGTGTCGCATGTCATTTCCTCAAGGTAGACTAGAGCTTGTTATCACCGCTGCCACCGGTTGCCGACTCCAGCTGCTACAGGGCCATGAAAGCGAGCTTTAAGAGGGGAAACTTGGTAGATACACCAGCGGTAATCGAGTAATAAGTTATTAGAAACTATGATATAATGATAATGAAAATCATTCTGATGAAAATGAAGAATAAGGGGAAGAATAAAATCAAGATGAGTATTAGTGTCACGACAATGAATTTGAGCATGATCACAGTGGTAAAAAAAGAGATAAACGGTAAGATGAACATGACGAAAATCAAGCTGATAAAAAACACGACGATTATGAAAAAGATAAATAAAGTGATAATAATGATAACGAATACCATGGCAAAAAAATCAAAATCACGACAGCGATCATTACGAGAAAGAAGATGACGACTATAAGAAAATGACTGATCATCGTAATGACGATGAAAATGATAACAACAACGACGATCGTGATTAAAGACGAACATGATGATAGCAATGATGACGATTAAGACAATACTAATTAAAACAATGATCTTTAAGGTGAAGACGTTAATGATACACGGCGACAGTGATTATGAACATGCAACTGAAAAGTAAACGATACTAGTTATGAAAATATACCTAACAATGAGAAATTTATTACTGAC